ATATATTTAAATGGGTCTGGCCATAAAAATTCATATAATTTTTTTAAAAGTCGGATAGAGAACACCCATGAGTCCTTGCTGAGCTCATGTAGAATCGTATAAATTCAGGTGAAACCTTCCGGTGAACCTATCTGGTACTGAATGCAAGTTCAATTCCTATCACAGATCAATCACAGAACATTCACTGGGTATTTCATTGATACCAAGCATTTCACATGTTCAATTACCTCTAAAATTTACAAAAGCCCTACTACCCAAAGCACTATTATCCCCTTTACAAAGGAGAAAACTGAGGCTTAGAGACAAATACCTTACTGAAAGCCATACAATTGTTGGTGACTGGATTTCAACCCAGACAGTCTGTCCCTAGAGTCTTTATTTCTCTGCCTGTTCTGCTTGTACATTGTCACTATACTTGTGGAAAGATGTTGGATCCATGTTGTGTTTTGTTCGTCAGGATGTGGACAACTAGTTTGGGTGGGAGAGCCTGTCACTCTGAGGACTGCTGAGACGATCACTGGCAAGTATGGAGTGTGGATGAGGGACCCCAAACCCACGTACCCCTACACCCGGGAGACCACATGGAGAATTGACACGGTTGGCGTAGACATCCGCCAGGTCTTTGAATACAACCGCATCAGCGACTTCGTGCAGGGCTATCCTTCAAAGGTCCATGTGCTGCCCCGGCCGCTAGAAAGCACAGGCGCCGTGGTGTATGCGGGGAGCCTCTATTTCCAGGGCGCTGAGTCTAGAAGCGTGATCAGGTACGAGCTGAATACTGAGGCAGTGAAGGCTAAGAAGGAAATCCCTGGAGCTGGCTACCATGGACAGTTCCCATATTCTTGGGGCGGCTACACAGACATTGACTTGGCTGTAGATGAGAGCGGCCTATGGGTCATTTACAGCACCGAAGAGGCCAAAGGCGCCATTGTCCTCTCCCAGCTGAACCCAGAGAATCTGGAACTTGAACGAACCTGGGAGACTAACATCCGTAAGCAGTCAGTCGCCAACGCCTTTGTCATCTGTGGCACCTTGTACACCATCAGCAGCTACTCCTCAAACGACGCCACTGTCAACTTCGCTTATGACACAGCCACAGGGAGCAGCAAGAGCCTGACCATCCCGTTCAAGAACCGCTACAAATACACCAGCATGATTGACTACAACCCCTCAGAGAGGAAGCTATTTGCCTGGGACAACTTCAACATGGTCACCTACGACATCAAGCTCTCCAAGATGTGAGAAGTTCCAGGCCTCACCAGCACAGGCAAAAGATCATGACATCCAGGGCCCTGAAGGGGATCAGAGTGAAGGAGAGCCAGCCAGCCAGGCCCACGTTTCTCTCTGCTTTCCAGCTTTCACTAACCTAGGAGACTGTGTGTGCTCACCATCGACCACACAAGGACAGCAGTCTGCAGGCTTAGACAGCTTCATGCTATGACAGGTATTCTTTTCTTCTATCAGCTTGGGAAGGACTGTTTATCCAAAAGAGTCGAAGTTTTCTGGCAATTTAGGGAAAGAGATACAAGGCCTAGTAATTTCTTTATGAAATCCTTGCTCTTGCAATTTGCATGGTTCCCATAGGCCATGCTCAAAAGCAGCCCTTCTAAAGGAAGAGGGAAAGCCAGGATTGAACGTATATGTAAGGTGTGTTTGATATGATTAGCTGCATGATTCAGATACAACTCAGCTGGGCATTATATAACCCGTTGCCCTGTGAAATAAAGGCATCTCACCACACATTATCTTCCTTGAATTTTGTGGGACTCTTTGGTTAAAAGAGGAGCACAGATTCCAAGATTGGATAATTCCTTTGGGTTGGGAGATATGATTATGTGATTGTAAGGTGTGTGTGTGTAAGAGAGAGAGAGAGACAGAGAAAGAGACAGAGAGAGAGAGACAGAAAGAGAGAGACAGAAAGAGAGAGACAGA